AGTAGTAGTAGTAGTGGTGGTAGGAGTAGTGGCAGTCGGAGGGGGAGGAGGAGGAGGAGGAGGCACGAGGAAAACTCGATGCAGTCGACTAGTCGTGATGATAGTCGTCGTCGTACCAGTCGTAGGAATAGTAAGAACTCGTCGCGCTCGTCATTGGTGTGGTCTTCAACGTCCTCCTCGTCCGTCGCCATTGTCGTTTCTAGCAGTAAACCGTAGTAGCAATAGGCGTAGTGAGAGAAGCAAGGTCTGGTTCATACAAGGCATTAAGGCGCCATTTTCTGTTCGCATGCCAAATGTAGTGGGTGGACATTTCATCGAGGTGCTGCAGGACTTCGACTAGAACTACCATCACTCATGTGACAGGCCTCTACGATCGAAGTCCTCTGGTCTGGGGCATGCTGCCATTCCGAACCATCAACATGCAACACCATCATCATCATCATCATCATCATCATCAGAGTGATACTACTGAAATGCCGACCATGCACTTGCAGTGCTTGAAAACCTCAAGGCATTCAAGACCCAAAGCAACACCCAACAACCCTGAACACCACAGACGCAGTAGCCCGTTCGAAAATCCCAAACCCACCTTAATTCGCGCTTGAGGGTGGGACTCATCCGATAGAACTTCCCGGCCGGGCCAGCCTTTGTTTTTGAATGGACCCAGATGGCAAACCCTGAACCCCCCTGCAGCAAGAGCTGCTCAGCCGTGGCGGCAGGGGTGGCAGTGCGAGCTTGTCGAAGGTCAGAAACGGCGACATGGGGCTTTCACCAACTTCCTCGGCTCTGGTATACAACTTAGGCTGACTATGGCAGTTTGGGGCGCAAGGTCCACGGTAGTGGCAAAGACACTCATGGTTCCGGAGGAGGACTCGACTAGGACTAGACAGGAGGACGTGACTACGACCAGCAGTAGCTACACCGATTAAACGAGCCGACACCAGCAACGTTTAATGTCAACCAAACCATAACGGATATGTTTGCGGTCACTCACTCCTCTAAGCCGTAGCCGTAGACGTAAAACCACTCGAGTCAACCCCCAAGCTTTTGGCAAAGGCTCTGAGACCGCCCGAACCGAAAAGCGGCATGGCTGCGAGAGGTTCGCAGACACGTTCAGCCTTTGCTGGCCGGGTCCGTGATTCAACACCAGCGGTGGGAAATAAAGCACTTCCATCCAGATTATTAGAACCAGACGCGATGGAGCAAAAGGATGTTACCCCTGCTGCAGTCAAGGGACAAAGCTTGGGTGTACTGTGAATTCTTTGTGGGTCTCTGGACCAGGCAGCTACGCATGTACTAGTAACAGGTGTCATTTTCGATGCAGGACTCGCACGGGTACACCCACTGGGACTTGAAGTCCACATGGCCGTCCATAGAAGTGCCGCTCCATGATTTGCAGCCCGACAGCAAGGTCACCGGCGCATTGTACACACTCTCGGCACCCACCATGCCAGTACCTTTCGCCAATTTCGGGTGAGGTGTTCGAGCTGTCGGTGTGACTGCACACCACTGAACAAAGCCTCATGACGACTGGCACGCGAATCAGTGCCCTAGAAGAAATATGGCAGCACAAACATAGGCATAGGCAAAACGATAAACAACATATACGGATGCGTGGGTGCATCCAGACATGCATAGGCACAGATATTACGTCTGAAGGTGTAGTATCTATATAAGAATAAGTCTGTATCAGTGTACATGTACACAAGCAGAAACTGGGTTTTCCAAAGTCTCAAAGATGTGCAGTACGATGCCGGGTGACATTACATACATCCATGCATGCATGCATACGTACATATATATATATATATTACAGTACAGCACAGCATCTTGTGTTCGTGATACTGCGGTTCTCCAGATGCGGCCGAGACTCGGAAGCCGCCAGGCGAGCAAAGAGAGAACACCTCTTCATCGCTTTGTTGGGCTTAAAGGTTTGAGGGCTGAAGGCTTAGGGCTAGGGCTTCAGGATTCTTGCAATTTACTGCATTGGGGCTTGGGGCGTTGAGGGTTCAAGCTGAGGGTCCTAGGTTCGAGTGTTTTGGGCTGCGGGGGTTTTGGTTTCATTGATTCACGAATGAATTAGGCTTGAGGTTCATTCGTGCAGGCTTTGGGAGTCGACACGCTTGTCGGACAGGATTTCTTTAAGCAGTAGACCCTGCACCAAAGGCGCAACCCTGAAACCCTAAACCCCAGACCACCATCCTCAACCCCCGAATGCACTAGCCCCGCCCCAACCCACTCCCACAACAGCATCCGAGCCTTCACAGCCAGAAGCTTCGCGGCATATAGTGCTGGCTCGGTCCAACTCCTCCAAACTTATCTTCGGTACAAAATTCCGACCGAAAAGGCTTAGGATCCTGGAAGATTCAGGGTTTGTAGACTCTTTTGGTCGGGATTCGGGGCTCAACGAAGCAGTCTAAAGTTTTGTATGGGTTTCAGTCACTTCACTTCAGTCACCTGTGAGGGTGGAAGCGGCTTCATGAGTTTTGCGGGGCTTGCAAGGATTTAGTGCTTGTAGAGAATGGTCGCTACTGGAAAGCAGGTTAAGACCTTCACGTCAATCTAACCTTGGGGAATCAACTGGCTAGGAAAACATATCTGCAGCCGGCTAGAACAAAGGCAATGCGTTGGACAACCGGACGGTCTTCGGTCTAAAACCTCCAGCTAGAAGCGACACCCAGAAGGCATGCACCGATATACCCTAACGTACCACAAATATATATATATATATATATCCCTATCTTGAAACGCTTTCTACCCACTTCAAGGCTGACCTCGATTCAAAACCCTGAAGCCATGAACTTTGCAAAGATTCGGGTCCTGATACCGTAATTTCTCGATTCCTTTTTAACTCTTCTCACTGGAAGCTCTGAAGGCAGCCTGGCTGAACCTTGACCCGTCAACACAAATATCTAGTGCAGTCTAGGCGCAGCAGGGCATGATTGGCTTGCAACTCCTTACTTGAGTGCGATGCCAAGGAAAAAAACCCAAACATGAGTCCAATGACCACTCAAGTCTTGTTTTGAAGAGAATTGAGACATGATTCCTCATGCGCTAAGAGCCCTTCAACCCTTCTGAGGTACGACTACTCGGCAGCCAAAGGCTCCACAAGCTGCGGGGCCACGGGTGTATCCGGCACCTGCACTTGCAGGGCTTGCAGGAGGCTCGAGGACAGCCTGCACTTATCAAGCTCCTCTGAAAACATGTCGACACTGTTGGGAAGGCTTTCGGATACAGGGCTTGGGCTGCTAGAAACCTAATTTTTCGCATGCCAAATCAAGTTTGACTTCAATGCTTGGGGTGTCTTCTTCGGGATCCGTTATGCAAAGGCCCTTCGAATCAGGGTCCTTTGAACCCTTATGAATTCTCAAAGTCTCCAAGAAACCAAAAGCACGAATCACCATCTTAGAGGCCTTGCACCCTAGTCCGAAGCCCCCTCCTCCCAAGTGCCGTTTGCCTGGGAACACTTTCGGAAGACCGCATCGGACAGCTCGCCGACACCCCCAGGTGTGACAGCGGCAACCCGGAACCTTCCGCGGGATCAGCTCGCTGGGGCTCGGGGCCTTTGGATTTTGCTACGAAAGGGACCTTCAGCGTTCAGGGCGTAAGGACCTGAGGGGCGGTGGGCTTAGGGATCTTAAAAAAAGCAGGGCTGAGCCCGTCTCTGCCTTTTTGAGTACCGCGTCTCGCCAATCTCGGTAGAGGGCGTAAGGCTTCTGGAGTTGGAGGTTCAAGATTTTTGGGGCTTTCGGGAGCATAAGCAAAGTGATAAGCACTAGAATGCGAAGCCGGATCTCGTATATTGTCCACTTGGGCCCAAAGTCATTATAGAAGTAATTCTGGCCATCATTGTAGTCGTCATAACAACAATCGCAACAGCATATTTCGCAGTTTGAACATTCTTTGTGCTTGTTTGATTATGCTTCCAATGGAAAAAACTCCTGCAGAGAAAACTCCTTGCAGGCAGGGAGCCACATGGCCTCCTGCGAACGTGACGCGCCGAAAAGGTTGGAGTCGGTGCAGTTGACCTAGAATAGGCGCCAAAACTTGTCAGAACAAGCAACAGAGGTTTAAGGCGGAGGAAATCTTACGGGAGCAGGGGTAGTCCGAACCCCAAACAATGCAAAAACTCCCCGGACAATAGAGGCCTTGATGAGGCTTGACGAAGCTCAATCAGACTAGCTGGGCGTATACAGTCTGAGTCTAGAATCGAGAGGAATTCGGGCTTCACACGAAAACTGTATCAAAGACTATGGTACATGGCGCATGCACCCTCACGTCAGAAACATGATTCTAGCAAAGGGGTCGGCCATTTATGTTTCGTAAGTTTCCGGGAGGGATTGGCTCAGCTGGCTTTGGCGGCTTAAGGGTTCCGAAGCTGCAGGCGCAAGGAAAATCTAGGGTCCAGCCCGAGGCACGACGTAAGTGTTCACGGGGAGGTAGCCGAAGGTCGGCTGGAGTGGGTCGAAGTAGTTCGTCCCATCGCGCCAGTCTGCAAACACGTGGTAACCTGGGTTCAGTTCCGGACCAGAACCTTCTAAAGCGCGGACCTCAATTTGCACTAAAAAAACCTCTAGATTCAAGCACCGCTTGTCTCAGCCGTGCAGCCCATGAGTTCGTCGTTGTCGATCCCAGGCGACCAGGTCCAGGACAAAGAGACGAGCTCATTCGTGCTCCTCGGAAGGGTGTCTTGAGGTTTGCTGGCAGGTCTGAGGTTTGGATTTGAGAGTTTTGGACTTGTAGGGTTTTGGGGCCACGCTTGATAGTGCATGGCTCACAGGCGCTCCTCGGGATGGCAGATGCTCAGGCTTAGGGTTTGAGCATATCGGACGTTTGCCCCACCAAAGCTTGTCAGCTGAAGCGCAAAGCAAAGTATGTACTTGTCCACTCGCGGATCTATTATACGAGGTAGACTATGCCAACAAGGGTGAACCGCCTATGGATTCCAAGACCCAGATCTCAGAACCTAAACCACCAGAGCCAACGTACCTTCAACCCATCTGGCAGGCTTCCCGTTACGGGGAGTCTTTCTGCTTCCAAAGGCGCCAGTCAACCTTGAGGACCGGCTTGGGTGCTGCAGTGTTCGCTTGGGTGTACCTGACTTTTAAGCAGTCTATGGGAGCTAGGATTAGGGGGACCCTTGGGGATATAGACCCCTCCAATACGGTCCCCTTTAAGAGAGCCAAAAGTAGGGTTCAGAAAGGGGTACCCTTTGAGGGGTACCCCTAATAATACTACCTAGTCTAAGTTGGCATCAGAGCCTTCGGTCGGCTTCGGGGGCTTAAGTAGGGTGCCAGGAACTTCTGCCTCTGACATCCTTGAAGGAACTATCACAGGTGTGCAAGATCGGCTCCGTATGAGAGCAGCAGATTGCAAAAAACACTGAGGTTACAGGCACGGCAGCCATCTTACCAACAACGGACTGGCATCAGTCACGCAACAGCCAAACTCTTCGTTGCAAGACGAGCTGCGATTACGATGACATTGCTGGTAGATATGGCGGTTGCGACTCTTGAAGAAGCACAGAAAGAAGTGCGGTCACCCCGCAGCTCCGAAACCGAAACACCAAATTCCACAAACCCTCGACCCTCGGCACCAAAACCCTAGGGTCTAGCAGCCGCACCAAAAATCAACCCATCCAAGCCATGGTGCGTTGGTTCGGACAGGTCCCCTGTGCCGGCCAGTGAGATCACGGCGTATTCGACCGAGATCGGGGTGCCGGGGGGCAAGTCCTTTGCTGGTCAAAAAAGGTGCGAGATTGTTGGACTTGAGCTTCCCTCAAGCGGGCAAGTCCTAGATGCCAAATCCGAAAGCCCTAATGGCGCTAATTTCCGGTAGTAAGCTACCCGAAGAATCAGGTGCCTGTGCACATACAGCTACGAGCCAGATAACATTCCGCATAACCCCAATTGAAGCATTGATATCCCTGGAACTAGTGGACTCAGCCAGAAGCTTCACGTAGGAGCCGAAGAGCTGCAAGAGTCCTCAACCTCAGGCCTCGCCCGAATGGTGCATGTACCCATGTCCGCATGTCCCAAAGTAGCTGTACAGGAAGCCTTCCAAGCAGAAGTTTTTACTACATAGGCACACGGATCCTACAATACCCTATAGCAAAACCGATAATCTTTCCTTTAGGGTTTTGGGCTATGTTATACGATATCTAAACCCCAAGACAGTAGAGGTAATTCTCTAGGCCCCTATATTAGGGTTTGGGGGCAGGTAGGGCTAATCAGGTCAAGGGACAGGAAAAGTGTATGAGGTGATGCTGGTGTCGGTGATGATGGTGGTCTCTGGCACCTCGCTGACGTCCAGCCTGAGGTGGGGGTTCAGCCGTCCAGTTTGGGATTCACTGGTAAACATATTGGCATACGGGGCATATTGGCATAGGGGGCATGTCTACCCTGAGCGAACCATTTCCCCCAATGAGTTTTGGGCTTCACTTCCAGGGTGTCGGGTGGAACTGTCAAGTGCTTGCCCACCTGGTCAGCTGCAGATGCCAGCCGCTGTGAAGAGCCATTGTCTCGGAGGTTTGTCCTGCTTACTCTAAGGATGGCTATGGGAAGTCATAGGTAGGGTTACAAGGCAGTATACATCTAGCCATACCTCTGAGCCCCGTAAGGAATCTCAGACACCACTTCTAGCCACTCCTGAACCCCCAAAGCCCTTATTGTTCAGGAAGTGTTTCTACCCAGTAAGACGTGCCGCAAAGAACAAGTTCCTGGCCCAAGCGCTCTATTCTTTTTGGCAAGTCCTGCCAGTGTCAAGTCCACAGTGGCTGCGAACATGCCTGTCATGTCGCGCCGGCCGCTGCGAAGAAGAGAGAGCCTTCGGACACTTGCGGGCTTCGACTCTCGTAGCTTTTGACTCTCGTAGCTTTTAGGGTTTAGGGCTTTAGGGGAGATTTGGAGGTCAGGGTTTGGGGTAACTACAACTACTGGCAATCTGCTTGCTTGCGCACAAGCCCACTCCCAAGCCACCTCAGCTAACTGCGGCCACTACATGTATTTCTGTGGGGATCGGGATAGCTTGAAAGACTGTTCCATATGCTCAGTTCCCATATTCTGGTTATATACTACTATATTGTACCCCCCCCCCCATACTCTGCTCTAATCATGAAAGTTCCTGTATTCTCCGTCTCCCTCTCTCTCTCTGTCTGCGTCTCTCGCACTTTTCGCAGCCGACTTCCGCACCGTAACACGGTTCCAGGCCGAGGCGCGTAGGCTTTGGCGGCGCCAGCGGCCTCGAAAAAGAAGGAATCTATGGGAGTTTCCGAAAACAAGCGGAATACCTTATTTTGGGGTCCTTACAATTATAGGATCCTACTATTTAGGGCACCATGTTGGGGTCTCCTTTTTTCGGAAACCCCCGTATTGACTGAGTCCATACCCCACAGGCTGACTCGGCCCAGATAAGGATACCGAAACAAGACAGAAACCCTTTTTTCCTGAACTCTCAGCATGTGACCCAGGAACACAAAGGATGACCTTTTGAACAATCTATAGATCCAGGCTTCCTGCTACCTTAAAATGCGAAAAGGCCCTGCCTTGCAGAATCTGAGCCCTATAAGCCCCAAGATTAAAAAACATATACGCACCCCGGACCCCCAGGCCCTGCCTTGCAGAATCTGAGCCCTATAAGCCCCAAGATTAAAAAACATATACGCACCCCGGACCCCCAAGCCAAAAATGGGACCCAAAGGGCCAGCCCGCCTTGCAACGCACAAGAGCCGCGCTGTGGCGGAGTCGAAGCCTAGGCTCCAGGTGCCCGAGGAATCCACGGCCACCAGCTTGAAGTAAACCTCCAGGAGAGTGCTACGGATTCGGAGTTTGAGGCTCTGGAACTACAGTAGTAAAAACATAGTGGCTATAATCATAATATTGCTTTGAGGCGCCACAGTAGAGGGTCAGTAAACCTCCGGAGCAACTGTCCATTCGGACGACGGGGATACATATAAAGACATAAACACACACACACACATACAAACACATACCGTACTTACACGTAGAGGGGTGCTTATGTGTGGATGCATGTCGGTTTGCATGTCTGCCTGGACTAGACTGCGAAAGGTCTGAGGCCCGCAATTGCTCCCAGGTGTTGTGTGACACAGGACATATCAGGCATCCCTGACAGCCTTTACGATGATGATCGTGATGATGACGCACAGGATTGCAAACAATGAGCTCTAGCTGGTTAGTATCCCTGCTACTCTGTTGTTCGATCTTGCCCTTTCTTTAGCTTAAACCCTAAACCAGGCCCTAAATTATGTGGGCATCAGGCCTCGGGCGGCCAGGTGCTCGAATTGGTCGCGTTGCAGGCGTAGGTGGTCTCCTGTCGTTTTTTCAGGGTTTCGGGGCTTTGTCCTGTAGCTGACGTTTCAAGGTTCTGGGGTTTAGACCTTGGTATGACTCGGCCAAGTAAGTCTGTCACAAATCGAATTATAGCAGGAGCGCGCTGTTGCGGGATCCTTAAGGCAGCCTATGTGTGCATGTACGGGGATGGTCAAGCCTGCCATGGCTGACTCAATGGCTCATGCGTAGTTTGTCTGTTTCGGGTTTGCGCCATAGGCGAGAGATTGAGTGCGGAAAGAACCCGAAGAGAAAGGGCTGCCATCAGCTCGAGCGTCGGGCGGTGCATTCACAGAGACGCTTGCCACTTCGAAGAACTCCGCATCGGCGCTCGGCGCGGCCAGGACGCGGAAGCTTTGGGTGAAGGGCTGCCAGGTGGCGTTGGGATGAGTGGACCATCCTCGGTGACGGTGAGTCCTAAAGTCGAATTCTTACCTCCGACTGTGGAACCAAGCATGGGTTTTGCCTGACCCAAGTGGAGTGGCGGCAATCACCTGCTGGACTCCCTGAACCCAAGTTGAGCTTGAAAGAGGAGGTTACCTGCCCAAAACTTTTTGCAGCCAAGCGTCCCACCGTCACCTCCGTGGTCGCCGCATCGTAGTTGACGATGTAAGGTGCCGTGGGCCCCCACGGTCGACCTCCAGGTTTCAAAGGTAGGCTGTACCTAATTATTAGCTTTAATAGGGTTTGGGGTACTTGTAGGTTTGAGACTTATGGTATAACGATAATCAGGAAACCCCCAAGGAACAATATTGACAAGTTTGCAAGCTTCTAGTTTAAGTGCTCAAGGCTTTCGTTTACAAGTTCTACCTATACTGTCGGCTCCATCGTTTTGAGCCTCTTTCAGAATCGCAGTTATATCTTGTTGTTTCGTGTCGTACATACCAATACATACATTTCTCGGTCTGAGCATCGCGTCCCTGTCAGGTGTTCTTGGGGGAAGGACGGCTCTGCGAGGCCGCCGGGCTGGAAGTTGAATGGGGGGTGGGGGGTGCTTAGGGCATAGGGCTTATAGGTTTTAGTGCATCCTCGTCCACAGCTCTCATTGCAGTCTCGGTTCGGATACTTCTTACAACCCTTAATCATTAATCTTTGACCCTCAAGCGTAAGCGCATGACCATCTCCAGTCACAGGGCTTCGCGTGCCTGTAGGAATAATCGATGCAGCGGCTGAGAAGCTGCTGCAGGCAGCTGAATCACAGGTCCGCACACGAAACTCCTGGGCCGTTCTGAGTTCTGCTTCTGTGACCAGGAGTGCCGCATTTTGCTGTCGGCGATGAACTCCCCAAAATCCTAAACTATAAAGCGGGGGGAGACTCCAGCGCTTGCTATCCGAAGCAACGTCTGTGCCGGTCGTCGTCAGCTTTGCAGGATCGGTTGCTCCGCTCTCGGCTTTTTTTGCCCCAGACGTGCAGGCACAGCTTTAGCGTTAGCGAAGAACACAGCCCAAAGTCCGAGAACTCCCTGAACTCCAAAGCCTAATTCCCAAAATCGTAAAGCCTTGAACTCTGACAGGTGTCGTAGAGTTCCAGGGGGTCCAGCTCCGTGATGTCGATCTCTGCTAGGCCAGAAGTGAGTGAAAACGAAGTCTGCAAAGCCACATTGAGGACCTGAAGGCTTGAAGGGTTGTTGAGAGTTCAGTTTATAGGGTCTACGTTGCAGGGCTCAAAGGCTAGAAGGGTGTAGGGTTCAGCCCTTAGGCTTTAGGGTTTCAGCTTTTGCGTTGCTACTACCAGTACCCAGAGCTTCCGGCGCACGACCACAAGTACCGTGCAAGCCGTCAGTGCGACGACCGTTGTCTTTCCACCCGCCTGTATCTCGTACCAGAAGTTGCAGGACACCATGGGGAGATCCTGCAAGAAGCCGAGGAGACCGAGAGTTCGGAACTACCTATAGTCTCCATTGTAGTTCCTTTTTTTGGTTTAACCAATTATATATTAAGGATTTTATAAGGTATCCCCAAAAAGGAACTACAATGGAGACTATAGGTAAGAGCTACACCGAGGCCCTTCTGCTTTCAACGAGGGACGTTCCAGTTTGTCCTTGTTTGAAGGAGCTACTCTAACTTCGACTTGCATCGATGTATAGCTTGCAAGGAATTACTTTTACTAGTAGCACACTCCTGCAAGCGTGTGCCGCCTAAGCTAGCAAAACGAATCCACGCCATACCGCATCACTCTACTTGGAACTGCTGCTCACGGCTACCCAGGACATTTATACCCTCAAAACCAGGCAGTCCTTCCTGCTTTGTGCTTTTCAAGACTACACGGCTTTCGGCCTAAGGTTCAGGGTTTAGGCGATACCTATAGTCTCCATTGTAGTTCCTTTTTTTGGTTTAACCAATAATATATTAAGGTTTTTATAAGGTATCCCCAAAAAGGAACTACAATGGAGACTATAGGTAGTGCAATATTACGTAACGGAGGCATTTATGGCTGGGTCCTGCCACGATAGATGCACAGCGCCAGACCGCGCCATCAGCATCAGATCGCCGGGCGCAGTGAGCGGCAGCGCGGCAATCCTTCGAGATGCGGCTTAGGGCATAACCTAGCGGTTAAGCCTTGACTGGCTTGAAGCTTATGCTCTGTAATGTCCTTCATGACCTACCTTCAAACTCCTAAGCCCTGAAGCATTGATAGCTTGCACCCTGCTAAGTCATATTCTCGATTCTACTATGTTATACTACGATAGAGAGTGTTTTCTGTATTAATAGCTCTATATGCTGACTTTAACTGCCTCACATCAGCTAAGCCCAGGCTCCAGCTTGTGTCGCTGAAACTGCCGGCGCCACCAGAGCTGAGGCCGCGCACTCGGAACTGCGTGCAGAGCCGGGTCCTTGCGCAGTCGGGGCTCAGCCCCAACAAACCTCTCCTCTGATGCGCAGAATATATACCCTTTCAATCCATCAGCCATGATGCATCCCTGTAGACCCTGAACCGATAAACGCGAAGCCCATAAAAAAGACCGATAAGCCCTCAACCCTGAACCCTATGCAGGATTGAGGAGGCTTGTAGAAGAGGGCCCGCAAGGCATCATCAAACCCTCCGCTCCCGGGCCGAACTCCCCGAAAGCCCCCGAACTCAAATCCTGTTTAGCCTAGAACTTTCCAGTGAAGGCAGGGCTCATGTTGTTGCCGTCAGGGAAGAAGGAGGAAAGCGGAATCCTGGGGCGAGTTTTCACCACGGTGGTATCTGAAAAAAGCTCATTCCTCCGACTTCTTCGCAGCAGTTCCTCACCGCGGTGGCATCTCCAGTGCTTTTGGTCAATGTGCTGCGTGATGCGGTTTTCTCGCCGCTGCACCACAGTGCAGCCACCACCCGAGGTGTATTCGGGTTGTCGTTTGCTGCTTGTTTTCTCCGGTTGTGTTTGCTGTTCTGCTGGCTATGTACCTTAAGACATGGGGCCGGAGATGATTCCTCAGTGTCAGCCGGGTGTGTGCTCTGGGGTCAACCCCCAAATCCATTCAACTCAAACTCAACTCAACCCAGGTCTAACACACTATACCAGCAGTGGGCATGGCCGCCCAGCCGTGGCGATAATAGCACCTACCGTTCGAGTAGCTGATCTCACCACGCTGCAGCTTAGCAGAATGGACCGTGGTCCAAGAATCTAAGCTTCTCACTTGAGAACCCATTTGAGCGCATAATTTCGCTGAGCCAAAAATAACCAATCACATGCCCCATAAGACACGAAGCTACAAAGAAGCAGAGTCAGCGAATCAATCAAAAAACAGCGAAAGCCTAAACCCTAAGCCCCAAATCCTCAACCTTAGACTTCTTCAACCATAGCATTTCAGCGAAGCTGCTCGGCCATAGGAAGGCTGCCAGAGTAGAGGAGCTGATCGGGAAGGCTGCCCGATCCTGGGCTAAAGGCCGCATAATATAGGAGCCTGACTATTTCGAAGAGAGCTTTGAGGTCTTGTGTACAAATTGCAATTATAAGGGGACGAACTTTTTCACTTTTTCCCCCTCTACTACACCCAGACCCTCTAAAGGATTCAAAGGACAGAAAGAGCCCCTGAATGGCAAAAAAAAGGGGCTTCAGATAGGCTCCGAGGGGCCTGGGTAGGATTCCTGGGGCCTATAGGGTTTAGGTTGGGCTTCCGTACCTATCTGTCAAGAACTGTTGGCAAACCTTGCAAACTTCAGCTTGTCGCGGATTGGGGGCTTATAATGTCGAGCACAAAACGATCCAGAGCCTAAGGCGTTTAGGCTCAGAAAGGTTTCGGGGCTTAGGCGTCAGGGCTTCTGTTGTGTTGGCCAATGGCTTTGCAAGGGTTCCCTCCTTTGAGTGGTTTCTTATGCAATACTGGTACTCGCACCCTTAAGCAGTACAGGGTCCCAAATTCGGTGGGGCTCTTCTGTCAAGATCCTCCCGCGCCCTGGTCTGATCATTAGTCGAGTCTTCAGCTGTAATTCGCTTCAAGCAAAAGTGTGGTGTTTGGCGGTTCAAAACGGATCTAAGCTTCGGCTTTCGGGAATTTGGGGTTCAGATCAGAAGGCTTCCTGGGGCGTAGAAACAGAAATACGGGCATAATGCTGATCTGACATAGGAGTTTGGTTGGAGACTTTTCCCAACCCCAAGCACTCACCAAACCAAGAGAAGCCTGGAGGCCGGCATCCCAGTAGAGCTCGTAGGCTGAGGCCTCCTGAAGCAGTGCTTCGGCGGTGTTGGAACTTTGGCGGCTTCGGGCTTGGGGATCTAAGCCTGTAGTTTTTGCAGTGTGTGGGTATCTGGCAGTCCCGCATTTCTGGGACTCTTTTTGAACTCTGGCTCAGAAACATCCGACCTTCAAGCTCAAGCACTCACCCCTTTTCCGAGGCCCCAGGTTGCCACCCGGCTGCGGCTCTGGTCCACCTAAACCAAAGATCTCGACCCTGAAGCCAAAAATCAATCTCAAACCCAAAGCCCTAGAACACACCGACCACGCGATGCAATCAAGCTGCGGACGCTTGCCGGGCAAACCTTAGCTGGCGCAGGGTCCGACACGTGTTTAGCATTAGGACCCTGGTTCAGGTTTTCAGGGTCCAGGGCTTTAATGTTTAGGGATCCCAAGGACCCATGCCGTAAACGCAGAGACGCCCAGCTTTTCAGTTCCCATAGCACACTCTGACATCAAACACGTCGACAGAGGAAGCGTAGCCCCGTAGACAATTGCAGGAAGTACTGCTGACTGCCCAACCACTTGAACACCCGAGCGCCTAAACATTACACCCGACAAACTCACGAGGTCTGTCAACCTGACCCCCGAAACCTTGCATCCTCAAACGTTCCAATTAATTGAAATGTGCCTAAACCCTGCGCCCTGCTTGCTAACCGTTCGAGAAGCTGGGCTTGCAATGCCTGGCACGCAGGCAACGCTCCATTGCAGTTCAGCTCACGCAGCGTCGGTGGTGCCCAGAGCAGGTAAACACCTTCAGGGTTCAGTACGGGATTTTAGGGTTTCGGGTTATGGGGTGCACGGGGTAGGGTTGCAGGGTCATGCTCTTTCTTTTGCACGAAGTCCTTACTGAAAGCCCCACCAGGGATCAAAACCACATAGACTCCCTACAAGGGCCCACGAAATCCTGAGCGGGCCCGAAATAGCACCCTAGAAAGCATGAGAAAATAATCTATAGAATCCTACAGAAATTTGTTAAACTCCGATGTAGCCTTGTTGAATCTGTAGGCACTCTCTAAAGCAAAGGCCTGTTTCCGACACGTTGTCGAGCTCGGGGGCGCCTGGAGCACCTGCCGCCGGGGGGGGGCCCAAAAGGATGAGCTTGAGCTTGGAGGATCATGGGACTTAGT